TTAAGTTAAAGTAACGTTACGTTTAGTTAAGTTATTAGTAGGTAAGTAAGTACGTAAACGTTACGTTACGTCGTCGTCGTTCTTCGTTCGTACTACTTACTCTCTCTCTCTCTCTCTCTCTCGCTCTCTCTCTCTCTCTCTCTCTCTCTCTCTCTCTCTCTGTTTAGTACACACACATGTTGCAGTAGTTGTATTTTATGCACTTATATGAATAGGTGTATTGAAATGCACTCGCGTATATCACTGGGATGTAAATTGCATGTACAAGTTCTAGCCACCACAACATCTTGAAGGTGAGCTTTCGACGAGTGGGCTACTACTTGTCATAGCCTGGTGCTCGTTAAGGCATGCTATGGCTATACTGTCGGATTTCTCGCTCCACACTGGATAAACCCTTAAACTAGAAAGCAAGCAGCCAAGCTAAGTCTAGAAACGCACAATCAAGCCTTCCAAAACCCTTCAAAACATATGGATGTATTAATGTATACATGTGTATACTGTAAGCATATTTTCTAGGTTTTCTAAACCTTGTGCCTTCTTAGAATTGCCTCTTCTAGGTTCTTGCATTCTCTCCACCAGAGATTATCTGCAACCAAAGCCATTTTATGATTATGAGCTATGTGGTTCTATATGGTCTTTTTTGGGTGATGTCCTGTTTCTATATACATCTATACGTGTGTATGTATACTATGTAAATAGGCATATCATGTTAGCCCTTTTCAGGATTCCATGTTTTCGCTTTATCTTAAATTTGCGTTCTGCATCAAAAAGCATAATATGAGACCAAAATATATGTATTTGTATCGTGCTCATGTTTGATGCAGTTCTGTCATTTTAAGCTGCACGTCATGGTTTGAATAACTTGTATTAAGAAAATCAGCTCCTTTCAGCCTCATTATTTTCAATTGTTGTGAGAGAATTTAAAAGCTTTATACTTTGTTTACACTTTACATGTGATGTGCTTGCCTTGCATAATTAACTAGATGATTTTGACTACATGCCCTTAGAATATTTGTGTTATGTAATTTTCCCTGGATGGTGTCAGGCCTATATTCATTTAATGCATTTGGAAAGTTTCTCGCTTCAATGTATTTTCTAATTTATGTAATATTCTTGCAGTCCAATACTATCTCATGTAAAGTAGGTGATATCATGATCAGCGTTCCCATAAGTTCATGCTTGGAGGGCGATACACTGAGTATAGCTTGCATGAAAGTTGATTTGGCTTGTCGTTATTATTTAATGCTTCTGGAAGAAAAGAGGTCCAAAGGTATCAGTTTACCATCCAATTTTCAGTGGGGTCTCTTAGAATCCAGCTTCTTAATAACAACTTAGTTTTTGATATTCTGACCATTTCAGACTTATTTCGATTATCTTGGTATCGTAATTGCTGTGGTTCACTTGGTTAGGTGTCTTGCCTGTTATTCGGGATCTGAAGCACAATGGAAAGCCACTTAAATCCACTGAATTCATAGAAGATCTTAGAGACTGCTTTGGTGGAGAAAGCTGGATTGAAGTAGTCATTGGTGGTAAGACCTAGACTGTGCTTTTCATCACGCAGTCTCTATGCTCCTTTGTCCTCTTAAGGTTGTTATTAATAATTCAAGTTCATACATATTCTAATTTGCTCATTCAATCCTTCATGTGAAGTTACCTTTATAGAGTTATAAGTAGATCTATGCCAGTGCAAATATCATTATTATATGCGTTTGTTGTCCATGTCTATACTATGGCACCTCCTCCGATTGTGCCACACCTCCCATAGACCCTGTTTGCTTCTTGCACCAAATCAATGTGACAAACGCTCCTTTCAATCGACCCTTATATGCATGTATCTTGTATCATGCTGAGAGCTCAGATTAATATTTTGACTGGTCATGTCATAGACTCATAGCCACAATTGATTGGTTTGTCCGTGATACTGGTTGCCTCATGCTGTGGAAATCTTGAAACATATTCAAACTGTTGATAAATTTGTAACCTAAACACCTGATATCCTTTTGATAATTCATATATTATTTTTAATTGCATGGTGTGGGAGTAAGGGAAGTCTGTTTATCACATGCATCAAAGTTGGTAGTGTCTGAGCACATGTTCACAAATCTATATATGTTTGTATGCATGCATGCACAAATGAATGTATACATGTACTGAAGTATTCTTTTCTAAAATAGGTATATCTGATGAAAAAATATTCATTTTATGAAGGATATCTCTCAAAAGAGAAAACAATCACTAACCCACTATAAGAAAATTATGGCCTAATACAGAGAATTTGATGCCTGATTATTCAAAATATTGGCGTCCAATTGTTCGACTTAACTTGGGCCATTATGTTGTTCAGTAATAGCATATGACTAAGGGGATACTTGTTTTTAATGTTGGAATTTGGACTCCACATTGTTCATAGTATTTTTGAAGTGTATCTCTCTTGGTTTAAAAACTCTAGCAAGAGACAAAGGACTCACCTTAGTGGACTCCGCTTGGCTTTTGACAGAAAATTCAAAACTTGAATGATGCTCAAGTCTTCCATGAAGTTTTCAAATATCTCTCCTTTTTTTGTTTAAAGACTGAATTAGTCTAGGCTTGCGAATCGGCTCCAATGATTATTTGGTCTATAGTCAAATATTTTCTCACTCTTTCCAATGTGATGATTGATCCAAAGATATCTTTTGCACGAATGAAGTGGGTTCTCTGCTTTATTTGTGCTTACTTTAGATGACTATTTTTCAGGTATATCATGAAAGGAAAATTGTTTCATGCGGCTGGACCGAATTTCTATATATGCGGTCCAGAAAGTGTAAAGCATCAATATTAAAGATGGATTCATCTAAAAACAATGGAAACTAACGGTCCAAAATTTTTCTTACTGGATCTATTATTTCTAGTTTTTAAAATTTATTTATTTATTCATATTCATGATCTCCATCTTAGAGATTACATATTCTTAAAAATTAAGTCGTAAAATCCATCACAAAAATAGATTTATTAAATGGCCTGCATTTCTACATATGCGGGCTTGGCCACATGGAAACCGGGTCCATCATGAAACATCTTGTTCTTCAATGTTCTAGCTTTCTGCACCTTCAGTATTTCTTGCAAATATGTACATCATATATGCCTTTGCAATTTCTTTTTGTTTGTCAATTGCAGGATGGGTTCAAAAGCACTTGATTAAGTTTTATATTGACTGTTGTGTTAAATGCTCTGAAGAACCCAATATGAAGCTATTGAGAAACTTGTACAACTTGGAGGTATTTCCATTGCTAACTCTAGTGTCATTTTTTTGCATCTCCTGAGAATTAATTGGCACAACATAGGCCACTAGGTTGAGTTTCCTTAATTGCATGGAGTTTATTTTTAAGTTTTGATTTGTGTACCCAGGTTAGCGAGGATGAAGTTGTAGTCTCTGATTGTGAATTACAAGATGTATCGTTTTTGCCTCTTTCAAAGGCGCTTCTAGAACATGGGACAGTTTCCATTTTGAACTTGTCTCATAACTTGTTAGGTAGGTGTTGTCTTCTTGGATGTTGTGAGTGCCTTGTGTCTTTTTATTTCTCTCCTCATTTAACAGCTATTCACAATTAAAAGTCCATGTAAATGTTGCATTATCTCTACTTGTAGTTTTGTTCTCCATAGATTTTAATGTTCATTTACTGGAAACTTTGATAGTGGTGAAAATTTTATTTACATTGTAGGAGTGTCTAAAAAGTTGGACTCGGGCTCCAAGTTGTGGAATTCCTGAGCCTGAGTCCATCACAGATTCAGCAGAGTTGGAGTCCAAGTTAGCGAATTTTTGCTGAAAATAACAAACATTAATCTGCGTTCAAGAGAGAATCACCTGATTTTTAGGCTTCTCTCACCGGATTCGCCAGGGTCCCGATCCAATCTGACTCAGGGAATTCCTGAGTCAGATGGGTGGGCTTTTAATCACTTCTTTATAGTGTGCATTTTCTATGTAATGAGGCCAGATACCCATACTTAGCCCGACTTTATTGTAACGATCGAACTTTCTTGGATAGGATTTGTGCAATTGTTATTGTAAATGTTGGTATTCCTTTTAGCGCACTGTTAGATCATCGCAGACTTGGAAAAAAGATTCCTTAGCCTTTTTCTTTCCCCTTTCCTTTGTGTTAACGGGTCATGTACCCTACTATGTACTGCCTTCGTTCCAGCTACTGTCTAACATTCTCTGTCAATTATGGAACATGTGGTGTTTATCAACTCTCTCCCTTTCAGGAAATGAGACGTTGAAGAAACTGCATGAAGTATTCTCTTTGTCATGCCAAAGTTATGGTGGGCTGACATTGGATTTGCATTGTAATAGATTTGGACCAACTGCACTATTTCAGGTTCTTAAACTTCCCTTATTCAATTAGTTGGGAAAAAGGCTTTGACGATGATAATGAAACTTCCACCATTCAATTTTTTTTCTAGGCATTCAAAACTATTTAGATAAAGATTATTTTCCAATGGTTGTGTAAGGCCTTCATTGTCTCTATCTATGGTACCAATGCTTTATACTGATATGTTTTTGATCATTGTTAAACAATCAAAAACTGCTATTTTCATGCATGTACACTTATACAACTTATTGAGTTGTGAATGCTTCTTTGTTTTAATAAGTAAAATCATGATAAATTCGTTTATATGAATATTTCTATTGAACTCCCATAATATATGAATAAATGAAAGACAAAAAGTGAAAATAACAAAAACAAAAACATAAAAAAGATGTAAAGCAAAAGTTAAAAAACAACTCCAATGATTCGATTGGAAAAAATCCTTAGGAGAATTTTAATGGCTAGTGATGTGAAACTAGAACTGGAGTGTGTTGAGTAAAAATGGCGAAATAGTTTCATAGACTGGGACTCAAAAGCATATTATTTTGTTATTGATCAAGACATTTTCATATGAAATAGCTTATGAAAAGGTACTTGGTCAAAATAAAGTAGTTTATAAAAATGTTCCTTCTAAAAGGGGTGAGGTTTTTTTCCCATTTTTGTAACTCCACTCATATGTAGTCACATACATAGCTGAACAGTCTGAATTGTACATATGGCTTTTGACATTAAAAAAGTGGGTGTGGAAACGTCTTGTATTGTTTATAGTACATCATCCATATATAGTTAGTGTATCATATCATATATAGTAGGTGTATTATATGACATTATTGAAGGTGCCGTGGTGCATCATGTATAGGAAGTGTATCATATGCAAGTTTCCCTCGTGTTGTATATTTATATGTGACTAGTGAATGAGATGTACAAGTTTTCTTTCTGCCTCTTTGAGTGTTTTACATGGTATCAGAGTAAAGATTTTGAGCAATGTTTTAAAAATTGGTGACTTGATCCGGAATCGGGAGATCCTAATCGGGTATCGTCCAGCCCGTCCTTGACGGGATCCGACCGATTATCTACATTAAATCGCGTGCTGTCATCATGGGTTGCCTGCTGATGTCATTGATCGCCAGGTCTACCACATCCGTACCTTATAAATTTTTTTTTTTAAAAATTAGGGGCGGCACAACTTTTTGTGAGGAAAATACAAACTTAAAATAACAACCTTCAACTACATGCCACATGGCGACCAAACAAAGCATCTGCAATTTTCCCTAGCACGCGTGTCTATTGTTAAGCTACAATGCAAACCCATGGCTTTTATAAAGCCTAGCGCTTCCTAACTTCCCCGATGTGGGACTTGCTCCTTCCCTGGCACTATAGTAAAAAATACTTATTTGTTGCGCTAAGTTCCAGGTGTTTTCAAAATAACACGTAGTTTGCACCAACTGCAAACTACACCCCGTACTTATTGTTATATAATTATAAATATTCATAATACTACTAATAAATATGATTATAAATTTAAATCAATCCAAATTATTTCAAATGTCATATAGTTGGCCTTCTATTATGAATACAATCACATTAAAATTCTAGTAATATTATTATATTGAATGAATATAATTATATAAAAGTTGTTCAATTATTTACTATAATTATGTTAAAATTGTTATTGATATATTGAAATTTTTATCGTTTTAAATACATTAAAACATCACATAATTTTAATATATTAAATTGCTATGTTATTTAATAAATTGTTATTGTTATATAGATTATGTCATTTTCATATTTAGTATAGATTGTAATTTTAAATTAATATATTTATAACTTTAAAAAATATTAACAAATAACATATTGTTAATTTATTATTATTATAATAACTTATTTTATGCAACAATGAAAGTTAAATATAATTTTGAATTGTATTAAGTTGTTTTATAAAATGATGAAACAAGTTCTCCGTATTTTCATAGTTTTTATACAATAATGAAAAATCATAATGCAAATCACCACTATTTTTTTAAAAAAAATTTAAAAAACTAGATTTTTAAGAAATTATAGTGATTTTTTTTAAATTATTTTAGGCTGAAACCGTTGATCCAGCTGATGTGATGCCAATTTCACTTTATATGGAAAATTATTATATTTAATCTTATAATATAGAACTGTATTCTAATTTTTAAATTATTTTGATGTAATATTATAATATTATATTATAATTAATAATTATACTGACATCCAGCAAGGAAAACAACATCTTAATATTCATTTATTTTTACAAAATAATGAAAGTGTCTAATGCACTACTCCTAATTTCTTTTTGAAACTAAAAGAACACTATTTTTAGAGATTTATAGTGTTTTGTTTTGGGACAAAAATTGCCGATTCAGTCAATCCTCCGTTCCGATCCGATCCACCGATCCAACATGGGTATGGGTGAGGATGATTTGGGTTCCCGATCCGTTTTTTTAAACACTGGTTTTGAGAGATCAAGTTTTTCTACCTCAAACCACATTGTCTTTCCTCATCTAATCACCACAGAGATAAGGTGGTTTTCTTGTAGCCTTTTGTGGATCTCTTATTGGCCTTATTTTGGTTGATCTTTGTATGGGGTCTCAAATCTAACCTCTTTTGGGTTGATTTCTGGCAGCCCATAAACATTTCCAGCTGATGATTTTGAAATCTCAGTTTTGATCTCAGATCAAGCCTTTTGATCAAGGTTTGATCTCATATCTTCTTTAGGGTTTTCTTTTGATTCAATCTGAGTTTTGATCACATATAGAGGGTGCTAATGTGGATTGGGCCTTCTGAGAAGGGAGATGTGTTGGCGGTAAAACTTGATGGGGAAAAACTATCCAGATCGGTGTATTTCAGTATTTTTTTTTGAAGGAAAGGGCTTTTGGGGGTATGTTGATCAAATTGAATCACAACCTGCTCCATCCAACTCCAAAGAAACCTAACAATGGTAGGTAAACAATGCTAAGATTGTCTCGTGGATCCTAAGTTATGTGGATACAAATATTGGAATTCCAATCAAAGAATTTCACACTATGAAAGAAATATGGGAATATCTAGAAAAGGTTTATTAGAAATCAAATATTGCAAAATGATTCTAAATCGAGTGTGATATGTTTACTCATGTACAAGGCAAAAAGAATATCCAAGAATATTATGTTGGTTTCTTGAACTTGTGGACAATATATTACTACGTTAAGTGTGAAGGCTCTAATATTTGCTACATTAGAAGTTAAAGATAAATTATTAAAGGAAGGTGATGCAGTTTTGGATGGAGTTCTGCTCCAAATATGGGGTCGTTATGCTCCAAATATAAAGTTTGTCTTTGTGGCCCAACAAACTAGAGTAAAACCATCATGAAAGAACCGGTCTTCATTGTAACGCTATGAATGTAAAATATTGTATTCCTTCCATGGGGTTGCAAAATCCTGTTTGCTTCACAATTACTATTGCATGACAATAGAGTCTGATAATCTGGTGTTTCCATGCTGATTCTGGACCTTCCACTGGTCCCGTACTATAAAGTGTTTCACTATAGCATGACTAGAATTCAGTTTGGAGCTCAAGCAGGAACCGTGATGAGCGGGATTTGCGAATCAGGATTTGGATTCAGCAAGTTGTTAATTAATATTTTCGACAAATGTAAAAAATAGACACTTGATCAAAATAATAACAGATTATAATAATTATTTAAAATTGCGATTGTAACTGGCTAGACACTGGAAACAAGCATTGTGTTTTCCTGTTTCCTTGAGATCTCATAAATGAAACATGAAACTCGACGAATCTTGGTGGACTGGGCAAGTTCATAGTGAGGCTTGGCTGAGTCTCATTTACCTTTATTCCCATGTTTCTGAGTTGATGGGATTTAGGACTGGCCTGTTCTGAGTCAACTAAGAAAGTATGTAGTCATGAGTTTTAAATGCAGTAAATAAACCAATCCAATAGGACATGACTCTTGTATGGATATTATACTTCATATACCTTGGGGCCATTTGGACACCTGGAAATATATTGTCTGTGAAATATATTACGGGCGTAATATGTTACTGTGTAATACATTACCTTCAAATGGGTAGTATTTATATGTAACTTGGAAATACATTGCTACTGTTTGGCTATGTCGAGAAGAAATATGAGAAATGCATTACCATCCAAATATGAAAAATATGGTTATGTTTGGCTAACATGATTAGACTTTGATTTCAACATGATAAGTCATTGGAATAACATGATTTTATTGTGATAAGCCTTATTTTTATTTATTTTTTATAGAAGTCTTTCAAATGTCTCTCTATATATAATTTCAAATAAGCAATAAATTTATGATACCAAAATCAAAATCTTTATGGTACGAGTTAAAAATGGGAAGAAGTTTGATTAGTAAACTAGAAGGTTTGGTAATTGCAGTAGAAAATTTTGAAGCATTGGAGGAGACTGAAGAGGTATCTTATTTCAATTGAGCTTTTACTAATATCTTATGAGGATTATGTTGTGTGAAATTTTTTATTATGATTGTGTTGTGTAATTTCTCGTCGATTACCAATTATTATTTTTGTTTTTATACGAGAGCTGATGGCGGGCTACAACCCAAATTGGGGACCCAAACTGGGGATAGAGAGGGAAGAAGAAATTTTTTTATTATGATTGCAGTAGAAAATTGTCCCTCATCAATTTCTACAACTCTTCAAATCAATTTAGATTTCTTTTTACTTTCACTTACCAATTGGGGATAGAGGGATGTAGAAAGTTTTTGGGGATAGAGGGATTGTAGAAATTTTTTATTATGATTGCAGTAGAAAATTGTTCTTGTCCTCGTACACCTGTTCAAATCAATTTAGATTCCACTTTTCATATCCCACTTTCACTTTCTACTTACCTTAATAATTATACAATAATGTTTTTTTAAGCAAGGATAGGGTAGAGAGACACGCCCAAGATTTCCAAAGATTACCTGTCAACCTCTTAATAGATTTTCACCTTACCTGTCAACTTCCTAATAGATTTTTCACCCCTTACCGTGCTTAATGGATTTCGTGTTTTTTGGGGAAATCTCGGGTAATGTCTTTCCATTTCTTTACGTGTACCCTTCCTTGTAATCTATTGTCATGTAACACGTACCCAAACGGCCCCCTTGTGTACGCTCTTCTAATTGTCTGAGGACATCTGTGAAATTTTTTGTCCAGGTGATTGACATTAGTCATGCATGAATACGCATAAAAACCTAAGAGGAAAAAATCACAATTAACTTTACAGCATTCATGTTCGTCTCTCCAACCTTTTTAGTTTTCTGACACTCTCAACCTCAATAGTGGATGGCGTTCGAATGATATATGATACTTTTGGTGTTAACTTCCATTATGCAGTTAGTATTATTAATATTTCTGGTGTTTTTTTACTTACCCAAAAAAAATATTTTTGGTGTTTTTCCAGATTTGTGAATGCCCTGTATTGTTTAATCGACTGGAAGTTCTGAATCTTTCTGGAAATCGTCTAACAGATGCTTGTGCTTCCTACCTTTCCACCATTTTAGAAAAATGCAAGGGTGGGTTATATTCTATCTGTTGCTTTGAGCTGTTTTCTTATTGTTACCTTTAATCACATGTATGTGTAGTTCTTCTACAATTGATTTTTTCTTTTAAAACTAGAAATTTGTATTAGTAAGATGTTCCTGTTTATTACTTTGTTCTTAGATCATAGGTAGGTAGCTTCTCAATATGTAATATCCTAATGAACTGCTTATATTCTTTTAGCATTATATAGCTTAAGCATAGAAAGCTGTTCAATTACATCCAGAACAATTCAGAATATTGCTGATGGACTCGACAACAAATCTGGACTTTGGCAACTTTCTATTGGTAAGTGTATGCTTTCTTCTTCATTTTTCCTAGTCATATGTCTGATATTGTCACTCAGCTCTCCCATTAATATATACCTTTTTTATTTTTTGACTGCTTAAACAGGAAAGAACAATCCCATTTCTGGAAATGCTATGCGCTGTCTTTTGGACAAACTTTTGTCTTTAAAAAGGTCATGTTCTAACCCATCATCATAATATTCACTGCTTCTAGTTGGGAAAATTGTTTACTTATATTAAATAAGATGGCACTTTGCATCTCTCTAGATTTTCTGGACTTAATCTGGTTGGCATAAAGTTCACCAAGCCTATGGTTGATATCCTCTGCCGCTTTGCCAAATCCTCGTCAAGTCTCTCCTCATTGATGCTTGGCTGTACTTCTATTGGACTTGTGAGCATCTCTCTCTCTCTCTCTCTCTCTCTCCCCCCACTATATTTTGCATGCGATCTGCTATATTATGCACACTAACAAAAGTATTCTCTAATGACAATTAAATTTGTTGTGATAGGATGGAGCTTTAAAATTAACTGAAGCGCTGTCAAATGGAAGTCAAGAACTTGTGAAGCTTGACCTGTCATTCTGTGGAGTGACTTCTCATGATTTTGTACAACCGGTGACGAACATCGTCTCAATAACTGGTCTTTTACAATTGAACTTGAGTGGGAATCTCCTTGGGCAGCAGGTTGTGTTCTTTCTTATTTTTTCAATAACTTTTCCATTTCTATTACTTTTCCTATCGCCTTTTTCTTGCTCCAAAGGAACAGGGGAAAATTGGGATCTTTTTCATATGTTAACATGCACCTTCAATTCCTGCTGTACATACTTTACATATACCATCTAACAACGTTGGTTTTAGGAGTTTTTCCCTAGTACTGAGAATCAGAATATTTTAGGCAAATGGCTTAATACTCTTTCTTCTTGGTAGCGGTTATAGAAAACCAATTATCTGAAGCTCTCGGCGCGTAATAATAAGCTTCTGAAAGTAATAGGCTGGAGCCCCCACCCCCCCAAAAAAAGAGGCTTGTTTCCTCTAATTTTTTTAATTGGTCAGTTTGTTTTCTCCAATGTTAAAAAAAATGGATCGGTGATTTGAATCGGTCACAACCATACCTGTGTTGGATCGGGTGAATCGGTGTATCGGATCGGAAGACTCAATAATTTGTCTCAAAATGCTTTTAAAAATAATTATAGAAAAACTGTTCATCCTTTTCTTTTCGCTTGACTCGGTGAAGAATCGGTCAGACTTGGTGAAGAATCATTGGAATCGGCGATTCCACAAAAAAAAACGGCGAGTCTACCATTCTGGATCGAGTGAATCCCGGTTTTTTACCGGATTCGGAGCGGTCATGGTGATTCCTGATCTAGATCACTTGATTCAAGATCGGGTCACCGACTTTTTGAACACTGGTTTTTTCTAAGCCTTAAGTGTATGGTTCCATATTGCAGGGTCTAGGTGCCTTGGCATCCTTCCTTGTTAGTCCTCATTGTTGCCTGAGAGTTCTGAACCTCAACAACTGCAATCTCGGTCTCGCTGGGATTCTTCAAATTCATCAATCCTTGGCAGGTAATCAACAAGCCTCTCATTTTTGTAACATCCATAAAGGCAAGTTCAACTCTACACATGCTTTCCCATTTGTTGCAGTAAACAATTCCATGGAAGAACTTTATCTCGCTGAAAATGTGACTTTGACAAACGACATCTCTCTAAATGATCTTCCTAAAGAGAACCCAAGTTTAAATTGTTCTCATAGGAAGTTCAAACTTTCTCTCACTTCAACCAAGAGAAAAATAGCACTAGACAATCAACTAGGCTTACCAGAACAAGTTTCAGACATTAAGGGCCTTGAAGTTGCAGATAGTGAAGGTGATGAGAACCGAGAAGATGCATACCTTTCTGGTTTTGATGACAGTTGTGCTAGCTCTCATCCACCATCAGAGCTTGAAATGGTAGGGATGGAAGCAACTGAAGAACTATGCTCTAAAGAAATCAGTGGACAGTTCATCCAAGATCTTTCAACTGCCATTGCAATGGCAAAGACCTTACAATTGCTGGATCTTAGTGGGAATGGATTTTCCATGGAAGCTGTGGAGGCCATGCATTTGTCGTGGTCATTGAACTCAAGGTGTGGGGGATTGAGGCATGTGCAGGAGGGGATTGTTCATTTCTATGTTGAAGGTAGAAAGTGCTGTGGAGTTAGGCCGTGCTGTCGAAGAGATTGATTCACAGGCCGAACGATTATATGCTCCTACTTTTGTGGTGCATTTCATCCATGCCACTCCCTTGGGTAAAACCCATGTACGAGTATTATTTGGACCCCAAATTTCGGGATGTAACTTCCTCAACCCAACAATCAACATTAAAAGGTTTCACATGTGCATCTAGGGCTGCCACCGGGCTGGGCTTGGGCTGGCCAAAGCCCCTGACCTCTGCCAGACAAAAACCTGAAATACTTAATGGCTTGCACCGACCCGGCCCAAATATCTATTTTCCAGCCCCGACCCAGCCCAGCCTAAAGCTCTGTTGTAGCCTGGGGCTGGGGCTTGGCCCAACTTGGGTTTTTTTTTTGCTCATTTAAGATCTATCTCTCTTCAAAATTATTTTACAGGAGTTGAGCTTTAAAATAAACAAATTATTTCATAAAAATCAAATATACTTTAAATCTTTGATGTAGGTTTTGAGGGAGAGAATGTCCTAGGGCAAGAGGGAAGAAAGAGTCGAGGCTATAAACAATCAAATTTGAGCCTATCTCAAACATTTCACTAGAAGATGTTGCTATGATGTTCAAATATCTTCAAATTGATCATCTCGACATCAACATGCACGGACATGAGAAAAATTGGATTTCGAGTTTTTGCAAATGGTGTATTTTGTGATGTATTTTTTGACCGTCAATTTTGAATATTTTCAAGTTTTCATAGATCTGATGATCTCTACTATTTATGAAGCTTTAAACTTATAAATAAATATAAAAATATATTTTAAGGCTATTACAAAAGATTTTTGGTGGTGAAACTGTATTTCTCGATACTATTTGAAGGTAAGCGCCAATTTGATTATTTAGAGCCTATTATCTATACAAACCGTACCTATACATATTTTGTTAGGGTGCAGTTGGCATATATGGATGCATCGATAGCTGTAGAGGTAGGTAAGGTGCACTTTTAAATTTTATCATGGTCTATAATTTTGCTATAAAATGATCGTAGGATTATATTAAAATATATTTTTATATCTAATTATAAAATTTTAAATTTAAAAAATGGTCAAAATCAAGTAGATATATAAACATATGAATATATTGAAAATAGATGCTGTAAATAATATGTTGTAAAATGTACTATTTTTTAGACTTAAAATCTTTTTATTTTATGGTCATATATCATCTCGTTGTCGAGATGATCAATCGAATGGTTTTTCAACATTAAAACTATTTTTTTGGATAGATTTTTGAAGTGCATCCGTAATTCTATATTATAAGATCCTTTTCTTATATAAGCTTTTTCCATTTAGTTAAGTCGTCTATAGCTAAAGCAGAAAGATATGTTCAGTCCATAACCACGGGTGGCAAAGTATTATTTCAGGCAAAGGCAATCAAGGTGGCGGGTACCACAACGAGAGGTTCATTCTCACGAGTCGAACGTTAATATGGGAAAACACTTACGAGTACTCGCACTCATGATTGCATTTTTTTACAGTATTGTCCATATGGTTTATTACCATTCAAAGTCCATGTTTGAATTTTAATATTTTTTTATAAATTAGATTCAATTGAAATTTGTAGTAGTGTATATGTAAGCTAAATAAAGTATAAAAAATGAATCTCAAAAAATAAAATGATGAAAATGCCCTTATAATTTTCATAAGTCTAATTTGCTTATATTTATTATTTATATTATTTTATTTGAGTGTGAACTTTTGAGGCATACACATCCACAAAATTTTAGGTTAATTTGATTTATAAAAAATTATTAAATTCAAACATTATTAAGTTAATTTGATTTATAAAAAATTATTAAATTCAAACATTATTAGACAATCACAATTATTAAATTCAAACATTATTAGACAATCACATGTTGAAAATAGGGAAGAGGTGCTTGTCTAAAATCCGAGGTATTGATGGCAATGTTGTTGGACTGTTGATCTTAGAGAGGTTGGGTAAATGATTGAGAATATTTTATTTCTCTTTATCTCTCAATGGCTATGAAACTTTAATTTATAAAGGGATGAGAGGAGGTTGTTTTTTTTCTTTTCTACAATATTTGAAAAGTGGTCATCAATACATGAGAGATGATGATTTATCCACTATCCATTGGAAAAAAGGATTTTTTCTCTCTAAAAAACTTTTAAAATAAACATTAATTAATGTATAATATTTTTAGAAAAAGATATTAACTAAATAACAAAAGAAATATGTAGCGTATGTGAGGCACCATGGCCACATGCATGTACCAACATTGTGGGTGTTTGAAAAACTTTAGATGGTGACGATCCATGAACGAAATTATGTAGAGATTGACTAATGAGTGTTTT